GGCAGCTGCCTGCGCACCTGCTAGCCCCTCTGGAGCTCTTCTGCCCGAGGCTCCTTCAGTACTATAGTTCATGACCTGCTCCACCTCCCTGCTTGTTCCTCATTTTGTCCTATATTCTCTTCTCAGCCCAGTTTGAAAAAGCCCTACTATGCGCCTGCCAAGGCAGTCTCATTTAATTCCCCTTACAACACAGTATTCCCTCTCTCTCTCTCTCTCTCTCTCTCTCTCTCTCTCTCATCCATGCATGCATTCATTCCACAAACATTTAAGTGCTTAAAGTATGTGCCAAACATATGGGGTACAGTTTTTTTTTTTTAAAAAAAGGACAAAAACAGTACCCTCATGAAAGTTATATTCCAATATAAGGACAACCAGACAGCTGTCCTTGATTGAAAGAAGATAAATAAATTATGTATAGGTTGAGTATCCCTTATCTGAAACGCTTGGGACCAAAAGTGTTTCAGACTTCAGAGTTTTTCAGCTTTGGGAATATTTACATAGACTTTACCAGTTTGAGTATCCTTAATCCAAAAATCTGAAAGCCAAAAGGCTCCGAAATCTGAAACTTTTTGAGTACCATGACACTTGAAAAGTTTCAGAATTTGGAGCACTTCAGATTTAGGATGTTTGGATTAGGAATGTTCAACCAAATATTTAGATAGTGATAATTACTTTAGAAAAATTTAGAGTAGGGTAAGGACGCCAAGAAATGGCAGGGGAGAGGAGCAGTATTTGAGTGGTCAAGAGAGACCTCATTTCGGAAGGGCCATCTGAACTTGAAGGAAATGAGAGATCTCTGCAGACATCTGTGGAAAGGTGGGATCCTGTCTGGCCAGCTCAAGGGACAGGAGGAGTGATGCAGCAAGACACTTGAGAGGTCATGGAGGATCTGTGGGTCTGAATAAGATGGAGACAGTGGGGGGGATCTGGGGAGGACTGGACATGATCTCAGTTATGGAAAAGACCATTCCAGCTGCTGCAGGGCAGTGAATGCAGAAGCAGGTGGCTGCTGGAGAGATTAGAGCTTCAGAGCATCTTGCCCCTGGGTTGCACTGTTCATGGGTGTTGGAGCTGAAACTGGCATCCAGATCTGACACCAGATCTCATGCACTTTGCCCTGTACCGGCTTTACCAGCCACCACTGGTGGGTGAGGCTCCTGGGGGCTGTTCTTCCTGGCCCAGGTTCTGAAGGAGAATGGGGTGTGCATGGGATATCATCCTCTGTCCCTTTCCCTCTGCCCCCAGCTGGCCTCCCTGGGTCCTTGAGTGAGGGAGGTCCTATCTCCCATCAGAGCATGGACCAGATCTGGACGTAGGTGTGGGAGATATGAGGCCCCAGAAGCTGGGCCCAGCTCTGGGCACCAGGGGAGCCCGGGCATGCCAGGGCTGTGGCTGTGGTGGTAGGTTGCTAGGCAACTCCAAGAGGGAGCCCTGGTTACTGCTGCCTGGCAGAGGCATCTTCCTCCTCTACCTCCCTCACCTCCTCCATGGCCTCTGGCCTCCCAGGAGGCCTTGTGTGAGAGCCAGAGTTGTGATCAGTGCTTGCCACTGGATCTTGGCTGGGAGCTCTGATTGGTACCAGGTAGCTGGGCCCTGAGGAGCCACACTGGGATGCAGGGCCCTGGCTTCTCTCGTGGGGCACAACCCTAGGGCAAAGCCCAGCTCAGCAGTCAGAGGTCTAGATCCTTAACTCACCTCTGAAGCACCTCCCTGCATGACCCCAGTCAGTACAAGGCACCCCTCTAGGCTTCAGCTGCTCCATCCATCTGGGCTGCAGGATCCCTCCCCAAGGGCCTCATTTTCTGAGAGAGAGGGTGCAGAGTGGGCAAGGCTCCAGGCTAACCCTCCCACCCGCATTGGCTTGAGTATGTGACACTTAAGTTTTGCATTAAATTTCACTTACCAAAGAATTCCATTGCTTTAAGAAAAATGTTTGAAAACCTCTGGACTGGATGATACCAAGGATTTTTGGTGTCAAACTGAAATCCCCAGAAAGGTTCCCAGAGTACCACTGGCCTGTGTCATCATTGTGTAGGTAGGAAAACTGAACCCTGGATGGGAGGAGAAATTTGCCCTAAGTCAAGCTTGAAGGAGGGGGAGGAGCACCGAGGTGGGGGTCAGGCTCACGTCCTTATTCTGACAACAGGTCCTGGGCCACTTTGGGCAAGTCCTTTCTTTTCCCTGGGTTGGACCAGCCATGGTGTCAGGCTTGGGCTTGACCTATCAGGTACTTGGCTGGGTAGGGGACCAAGGGGAGAAGGATGCAAATCTTTGTAGGCTTGGAGCATATTTTGAATAATCTGAAATATTTTGATTCTACAGAAAATGGAGGTCTGGGAAATAGCTCAGGGGTAGAGCGCTTGTCTAGCTAGCATTTGTGAGACTCTAGGTTTGAACCCCAGCACTGAGAGAGACAGAGGAACAATAACATGTAGATCTACTGTCCCATACCCCCTGCACTGTTAGGCCCACAGACATGTAGGGATAGTTTACATGGAAAGTTTGAGGAGCACTGGGATACTAGCTTCCTAAGATTCTTTAGGAATTCCCTGACACCACTTCCCTGTCCCGTGCACAAAGTTATATCCTTTAGACTCAGTAATACCAACATGAAATCAAAATCTGGCCTGTGCTTACCAAGCTGTGTGACTTTGGCGGTCACTCAGAGTCTCTGAGCCTACTCTTCTCATGTTGGGCTAGGGATCCCAATCCATGATTCTGGAGTCTTACGTAATAAAGTGAGATAAGTACTCAGAGTGCCTGGGCTGAACAGGCTGGTGCTGCCCATGTGCTGGTACCTGATGGTGTCCTTCCTCTCCCCACCCCCCAGTGTTCTGAGCTGGGCTGGCAAATAATGACATTGATAAAGAGGTGTTACCTGATGGACCTCCAGCTGGAGAAGTGGAGAGGTGGGAGGTGGAGCCTCCAGCAAGCCGACAGTTCTTTGGGGAAAAGAACTGAGGCCTCCTGAGGACCCTGAACACAGGTGTGGGGGAGGGGCATGGGAGCCAGGTGTGGGGGCGGGACGGGAAGGGGGTATCTACTTGAGGGAACAGGGATCCCTGGGGTCCAGTTACCCTCCTCTCCAAGCCCCAGGAGAAGCCAAGCAGGGCAAGCCTGGCAAGCCCCAGCTGTTGTCTCCCAACCCAAAAGTGCTAGAGACAGGGAGCCTGGGGCCCTGAAGAATCAGTCAGGACCTGGAGCTGGGGGAGCAGTGGGTGGAAGGTGCCCTGGCAGCAGGAAGGACCTCCTGGAGACCCCTGGAGAGGAGGCAGGAGGGAGTACCCTCACAGAGCAGTGGCTGTGAGTGTAACTGGGCAGATTAAAGGATTACAAGCAAGTCTGCGACCTGGGCAGAGTTGGGGTACCCAGCATCACTGCCGAGCTGTGTGTGGTATTATGGGCAAGTTAATCGTGCCTCTGGGCCTCTGTTGCCTGACAGATGAAATGGGGGAATGTCAGCTTTCTAAGAGTGGTTGGTGCCTAGAACAGCTTCACTCAGGACAGGATGTGAAGGAGATGGAAACAGAGCAGGTCTGTTGAGTGGTCTAAGAGGTCAGATCTTCTGGCCAGAGTGAAAGATTTAATCAACATCTATGAGTACCTGGAGTGTTCACCCGACACTGAACCCCAGATTAGTTCATGTAATGATCTAACAGCCTTATGAGGTTGTTATGACGGTGGCCCATTTTTTTTTTTTTTTTTTTTAGAGTGGCTCAGAGATTGATACATAGCTAAGGTCACACAGCTAGGTGGTCAAAAACCTGGCTTCCCACCCTGCCCTCTGGTAGCCAAGGTCATGCTGTTTCCAAAGCAGTGGCCAAACCCAGGTGGGAGGCCCATGCTACTCCAGATTCCTGTGGGAGCCAGGCCAGTGGAGCTCTGGACTCCACCATCCCAGGACAGGTCTGGCCAAAGCAGGCAGACACCTGGGGAGCACTGTAGACTGGCACAGCAGAAATGAAGAAGAGGATAAGGGCAAGGGCAACAAAGGTGAAGCCACAGAGGTACCCAGGGATGGCAGAAAGGGCTTTGAAGCCTTTAAGTCACTTCACTTCTCTGAGCCCAGGTCTTCTTGACTATAAATGGGGAGTATGTAGGCATCGTGCACAGACCCCACTAGAAAGCGGCTCTGAGGGCAGAGCTGAGGCAGGTGGATCAAGAGGGGTGGGCAGGCAAGTGAACTGGGGTGACCTGAAGAGAGGCACTGAGCAGGAGTAGGGCCTGAGGCTTCCATGGCCAAACGTTGTCCTTTGTAGAACCCAGTCTCTTTGGAGTTCAGAGGAGCTGGGGGAAATCTCTGAAAAGTCTTAGGCCTACATCCTGGTTGGGGACCCCCAGCTATTCTGCTTTGGCTGGCCAGGCCGTCCCAGCAGTCCCAGCAAAGGGTTAACAGTCTTCTCTACCTGCAGTTGCATTTTAAAGACACGAAATTAAAGCAGGTAATTTATTCTCCCCACACACGAAAGAGCAATTAGTTCTAAACAGGGCTTAATCAGTCACCGCGAGATTGATTTCTGGAGCCCTGGGTTTTCGGGCTCCTGGCACCATGCCAGACTTGGAGGGAGGGGGGCGGACAAATGAGCCGCGGCGGCATGAGCCCTTACATAATCTGCTGGAGGTTGGGGTGGGGGGACTGACAGCTTGACTAGCCCCGCGAGGGGCTTGGCTGTGTTGGGGAAGAGGGGGATTCCGCAAGCACCCAGTAACCCTCAGCTCCCGGGAAAAGGCTAGGCCCAGAGCTCCAGCCCCACCCTCTGGGCAGTCTCTGGGGGTGCACGGGTGCGATTAAGGGTAGAGGCTGGGTATTCTGGGTTTGTCCGACCTGGTACTTACACCTGCCCCCTTCTTCTCCCAACCCCTGCACCCCATTATTTCCCCTCCTCTCCCTACTTCTCCATTCTCTCACTTTTCTCGACGCCCCATTCCATCATTCCCTCCTTTTCCCACGGCCTCCTCGCTTCCCATTCCCCTACCCATGCCCTTGTCTCTGGCCACAGAACTCCATCCGGCACAACCTGTCGCTTCACACCCGTTTCATCCGCGTGCAGAACGAGGGCACTGGCAAAAGTTCCTGGTGGATGCTGAATCCTGAGGGTGGAAAGACGGGAAAGACCCCGCGGCGCAGGGCTGTGTCCATGGACAACGGGGCCAAGTTCCTTCGCATCAAGGGCAAGGCAAGCAAGAAGAAGCAGCTGCAGGCGCCCGAGCGAAGCCCCGACGACAGCCCTCCGGGCGCGCCTGTCCCTGGGCCTGTGCCTGTCGCGGCCAAGTGGGCCGCCAGCCCGGCCTCGCACACCAGCGACGACTACGAGGCGTGGGCCGACTTCCGCGGCAGCGGGAGACCCCTGCTTGGGGAGGCTGCCGAGCTGGAGGACGACGAGGCCCTGGAGGCCCTGGCGCCGTCATCGCCGCTCATGTACCCGAGCCCAGCGAGCGCGCTCTCGCCGGCGTTGGGTGCGCGCTGCCCGGGGGAGCTGCCACGCCTGGCAGAGCTGGGAGGCCCGTTAGGCCTGCACGGCGGCGGCGGCGGCGGCGCGGGGCTGCCGGAGGCCCTGCTGGACGGCGCGCAGGACGCGTTCGGGCAGCGAGCCCGCGCCGGGACGCCTGCCTACTTCGGCGGCTGCAAAGGCGGTGCCTATGGCGGGGGAGGGGGCTACGGGCCGCCAGCGCTGGGCGCGCTGCGGCGCCTGCCTATGCAGACCATCCAGGAGAACAAGCAGGCCAGCTTCGCGCCGGCCGCCGCGCCCTTCCGTCCCGGAGCGCTGCCCACCCTGCTGCCGCCGCCGCCGCCCGCACCGAGGCCCAGCCCGGTGCTGGGCGCGCCCGGGGAGATGGCGCTGACAGGTGCGGCAGCCGCCTACCCCGGCAAGGGGGCGGCCCCGTACGCGCCGCCGGCGCCCTCGCGCAGTGCCTTAGCCCACCCCATCAGCCTTATGACGCTGCCCGGAGACGCGGGCGCCACAGGCCTGGCACCACCTGGCCATGCCGCCGCCTTTGGGGGCCCGCCCGGTGGCCTCCTACTGGACGCGCTGCCCGGGCCATATGCGGCCGCAGCCGCCGGGCCGTTGGGTGCTGCGCCGGACCGATTCCCGGCGGACCTGGACCTCGACATGTTCAGCGGGAGTCTTGAGTGTGACGTCGAGTCCATCATCCTCAACGACTTCATGGACAGCGACGAAATGGACTTCAATTTTGATTCAGCCCTGCCTCCACCGCCGCCCGGCCTGGCCGGGGCCCCGCCTCCTAACCAGAGCTGGGTTCCGGGCTGAGGACCGCCTCCTGCGTCCTGGGTGCCCGGGTCCCTTCCCCAGGGGGCCTCTGTCTTCCCATCCTGATCCCCGGGTCCCCAGCCCCAATCCAGCTCCACGGGGAGGATCCAGGAGGCAGCCCCAGCCCTGCTAAGACATCCCTCAGAAGCTGACCACAGAGAGAAGAGAGAGGGAGGGGCTGGGGCACCCCACCTTTCCTGCCCCACCTCCTGAGACCCGCTCCCCCTCCTCCCGGGGCAAAAAGCCTGGGAAAGGAGGCTGAAATCTGGGCCACGTGGGAGTGGGAAGGAACATGGTGGGCCACCTGGTTTGGATGCTGGCGGGAGAGGCCAACTAGGAGATGGGGCAGGGAGCGATTCCGTATCTTCAGTTTCATTTGTGGAGCCCTTGAGGTGACGTGATGCATAGCCCACCCCACACTCTAGTTTGATTCTCAATTGACACTTTTCCCTACTGGTCTTAGCCTCACCACTGGAAGCCAGCAACCCTCTCTTGAAAACTCACTCACACCCACCTATTGCCCCCACCCCAGCAGTCCGAGGTTGCCCTCCGTAGACCCCCATCCCCATGGTTCAGCCGCTCCCTCACATTCTAGCCGCCCCCATTCCCACCCTAACCCAATGGCAGTCTGTCCCTCTCTTCAACCCCCACATCCGCAGTACTGGTCTCAGTCTCTTCAGCAGGCCTCAGCTCTGGATCCACCACCCCACCCCATCTACCACCCCTTTCTCCGTGCCAGTCCTGGCCCCTCTCCCATATTTATAAGTGTCCCGTCGGGGCGGGCGGTGGGGGCGGCGTCCCCGGCGCGTATCGTAGGCAGTGTACTGTGGCCGTGCCGTCAGCGTGTGCGTGTGCGTGTGTGCCGTGTCCAGGCCGTGTAGAGTGCATTGTACAGCATATTTTCATGAATAAAATTGTTTTAAATATTTCCCGCGCCTTGGCTAGCAGAAGGGGCGGTGGTGGTGAAGGATAATTGTAAAGGTTGTGGGGGTAGGGGCAATGAGGGTCCCTGTGCCTGCCCCTACTGTGGCTTTGGTCTGGGTGCACATCAGCATTCTCAGGTGCTGGTCTGCTCAGCACACGTTGATTAAGCGCCTACTGAGTTCCTGATGCCTGTGATATGCCTTGTGAAACTCTGCACCTGTTTCTGAGAACAGGTAGGGGAAGTTTCAGACCTGGGGAGATTACCCTGAATTAAGCCTTTGAGGTTGGGACAGAGGGCACAGGTATTTATTGAGAACCTGTTCTGCCAGGCCCTGTGTTGGGTGCAATTTTTTGTTCTCATAGATGAGAAAACAAGGTCAGAGAGGGCAAATAACTTGGGGAGGTGGGAAGAGAATCCTTTGAAGGTGCAGACTTCTGTTGAAGTCCTCTGATATACCAGCTGTGACACCTTGGGCACAGTTTCAACCTCTGAAGCCTTGTTTTTGTCATTTAAATCATAGCATTCATAGTAGCCCCCATCTCAAGTAAATAAGAAAGGTATATAAAGTACTCAGCACAGGTCTTGCACTCAAAAATTCCTTCAGTGATAATTAGTGAGCTCCTATTAAGTGCCATTTCTTATTTCAGGCATAGGGACTGCCATAGACAGCAGCATTGGCACAGCTCTGCCTTGAGGAACTTAGAGGCTTGTGGAGGACATGGGTAGGTAGACAACTATGGATGCAAGAGCAGGGTCTGCTGTAGGGGGCAGTGATGAGCTGACCCTGGAGCAGGAGCTGTCTCAGCTGAGCCTTGAAAGAAGAGTTGGTTTAGGGAAGGGAAGGGATTCAGATAGAGGGGAAAAGCCAGAGTGGAGAAAGCACGTGGCTTCCATAGGCAAAAACAGTTGAGCGTGGCTAAGGCTCAGAGGTGGAAAAATTGCTGGTGCAGGGAGGCAAATGGGCTAGAATGGGCAGCAGTGAGAGAGGCAAGGGGTGCCAATGGTGGATCGAACCAGGAGATGGGCAAGAGAAGTGGGGATGGGTGGGAAATGATGAGTTCACATGTATTTTGGATGTAGACTCATGGGAATTGGTGGTGATTGGTCCATGGGAGGTCAAGGAGAGGAGGCCATGGTGGTAGAGTACTTGGGCAGACAAGGCCATTCCCTGACATGGGGAACATCAAGGAAGAGAGCCCCCCTGGGATATGGCCTGCTCATCAGCCACAGACATCCTCAATTTAAGTTACATGCTATGGGATTCCTCAGGATTTGGGAGGGAGGATGGGGGCTCAGGGACATTTCTACTGTGCAAATGGAATTATCTGACATTGGGCAACATGTTGGCCTAGAGATGTCCACCTGGTTAGCAGGGACAGAGCCCAGGAAGGCATCTGGACTAGAGAGGGAAGTCATAGAATCGGGAGTATAGAGGTTGTTGTGGGGGTGTTGGGAGTGGAGCATCGCAGAGTGGGGTGAGCAAGGAACCAGCTCTGCTCTCATGAATGCCTTAGGACCCCTTGGTACAGGAAGGAGAACCCATCAGCTGAGAAAGAGGACCCAGGGGAGACGAGAAGGAAAACAGGATACAGTGGGTCCTAGAATTTGTGAAAAGAAAATGGCCCTAGATAGGGTGTCCAGTACTTTTGCCTCCAAGAGCCTCACTTTCTTGGTCTGCAAGATGAGGCAGCAGCACTTGTCTTGAAGATTTGTTCAAGGAGCAAAAATGAATTGGAATCATTGTCTGAGGTCACACTACTAGCAAGGGGCAGACCAGGGCCCTGGCTCTGACTGTATACCTCCAATGCCCAGGTTCTCCTGGGGCGGCTGTGCCCCAGGCAGTGGCTGTAGGCAGGGAGCTAGACCTGCACAGGTTGAAGATCAGATCTGGGGCCTGAGACCTCAATGGTGTGCTATGTGGGTGTCCTTGCAGGGTGGGGAGCACACAGAGACCGACAGGCCCTCGCCTGGGACAGATGCCCCAGCTCCACCCCATAACCAGACTCTGAGATGGCCCAGTTGGGTCTGGACTCCATATGGGCTGTAAAGCTGCCCCCGCCCTAGGCTGATGGAGGGTGGGCTGCTGTGTGCGTGTGCAAGTCTGTGTGTGTCCGTGTGGCCCCATATGCAGCTGTCTGTGTGGGCTCGTGTGTGTGTGTGTGTGTGTGTGTGTGTGTGAGAATGATGGTGTGTCCATCTCTGAGTGTGCCCACACGTGTGTCTGGGGCTATGCAGGCCAGGCCTGTGCTAGTGCTCTCCTGATTTCCACATGTGTACCGTGTGGCTTCCTCTGTGGGTGTGCCTGCCTGTCTTGGCACACAGCTCTCTCTCAGGAGCTGGTGTTCTCCTGCTAGGAGTGTCCTCTATGTTGTTTGTTGGAGGGGAGGGGAGGAAAGCAGAGGGACTGTCCAGGCCCTGGGATCCAGCCCAGCTCATGTGTAGGAAGCAAGAGACCCCCTCAGAGTCATGACTGAGCTCTGCCTGACTCAGGTCAGTGATAATTCCAGAGACAGTTTCTGTCCTGCTGGGCCCCAACGGGAGAAAGGGGGCAACACCCCTACAGCTGGGGGTCTGCCACTGGCCCTTTGCCGCCAGCCTTGGAGCCCAGCAGACGCGCCCCCCTCTATGCCCACTCCCTGGGAGGCGTCTGACACATGATTTATTCATAAAAAGCTATTATTTGTGCCAAAGAAGAACTGAGCTGCTCGCTTTTTAAGTGCTGATAATGCTCTCAGCCTCCCTGCTCCCCCTCCCCTCCTCTCTCACCTCCTTCAGACTTCCTATCCTTTCTCCTCCTCCCATCTCTTCCCCATCCCCTCCCTTTCCCCCTCTTTCTTTATTGTTCTCTCCACATCTCTTCTTTCCCTTCATCCTCCTTCCTTCTCTTCCTGCTCAACTACTCCCAAATCCCCTCTACAATCAGGGCAAGCGAGGGAGTGAGGCAGGGTCTAGGGAGGCTCAGAACCAATTGTCCCTGATTGCAAGAAGGCCTGCACCAGGTCAGGAGCCCCACGGACACCATCCCTCAGCCTTCCTCTCTGTAGTATCATGGGAAGGCTGGGAGGAGGGAGGACAGACCGAGAAGGCAGGATGGTCTTGGAGGCTGTCCTAACCAGCTCCCCCTATGCTAAGAGGTGTGACTTCAGCTTCTCATTCAGTCTTTCAGGATCCCAAATGAACATTCAATCTAAGTAAAAAGAGGACACTTGCATAGCAGATTCAAAGCAAGCTCTCTAGGACCACGTTCCTGGCCAAGAATGCCTCCAAGCTCCCCCAGTGGGCATTCTAGAGCCACCATTATTCAAGTGGTGCTAAGAGAGGCTGGCATCAAGGGAGGCACCTGGGTTCCGTCACAGAGACAGGAGGCAGCAGAAAATGCTCACAGATGGCAGTTCGGACATAGACACACGCCAGGTTCTTAGAAGCAGACATCACAGATCCACGTGTGTGTGCTCTCATGCTCACATGTCTGCATATGTGCACACATGCACGTGCGCACACACACACACACACACACACAGAGGCATGTGCCCAGCCACCACCTACTCAGGCAGATGGAGAACCCTTCCTCACCCCTTTCTGGAATGCCCCTCCCCTGAGCACCTGCAGTGGGGGCTGCAGCTCTTTCCCCATTCAGACACCTGTTCATTCATTCCTGCATTCATTCATTCACTCCATAAACTTAACTTTTGCACCTCATCCACACCAGCCCTTGCTGGATGCTGGGGTGGCAAAGATGGATGTGATTGGCCCCAGAGAGCAGAGCTGGAGCAGAGCGGGTACTGCCGACCCTCCCTTGCAGCCGTGGGCTGGGGGTTGGGGGCCCAGCAGGCGAGGGGTTAAGTCATTTGGCATCCAGAGCTGGAGCCATTAGGCCTCCTAATTATGAAATTATCGAGGTCCTCAGGTGACTGCTAATTTCACACACACTGTTCCTCTCACGGCTAATGAACGCCCGCAGAACCCACGCCTTGTCTTTCCTGCTGAACAGTGACCTGCAGTTAATGAGCTCAGGAAGGCAGACAGGCCGCCGGCTGGGTGGGTGGGGCACCAGGCCTGAGGAGGGGGCTGCTCATCCCTCCTGCCCCTCCCGGCTGCCCTTGCTGGCTGCCAGTCCCAGTGAAGATTTCTGGACCAAAGCCCAGCCCAGAGTTTCTGCAGGACAGGCTAGGCCCAGGGATCTTTGGAGCAAGGGAAGGGTACAGATTTGGGGGCGGCTTTAGGATCCTGGAATAACATGGAGCAGGGTGAGACTGGGGGACAGAAATGAAATGTCGATGGTGGAAAACCATTTCTACTTGATTCTGGGGCCATGTGAGAGACATGTATGGAGGGCGGGGAGAGGGGAACACATTAGCTTGAGGGTTGGGAGTTGGGTGGGGGTTGGAGTACAGTCATACCCTGATGCTGGGGAGGGGGATGACTTTGGGGTCGGTGGTGCTAATGAGTAATGGGAATGTCAGCTGTGAGGTGGTAATGCTATTGCTGCTGATTGTAATTTTTAAAGTCTTATTTTTTTAAATTGTTTTTTAGTTGTAGATGGACACAATATCTTTATTTATTTATTTTTAGATGGTGCTGAGGATCAAACCCAGTGCCGCACATGTGCGAGGCAAGTGCTCTACCACTGAGCTATAGCCCCAGAAATTAACAAGTAACAAAAAAAATTTGCCCTCCAAATTTTAAAGAAAAAAAATAAAAAAGACACACTGGTTTCAATCTTGAGTGGGGCAATGCAATCTAGGTCTAAAGGCCACATGTTCCCAAATGGGCACACAGCAGACTCTCTGAGTAGACCACCAGGAGGGCTTGAAGGCCCTGCGACCTGCCCTAGCCATGACTCACTCACCACCCAGGCCGATATCGACTGAGGGCCAGTGGGGTGAATGAGGTGGGCAAGAGGGTGGGAACCATGTTCTGGGGCACAAGAGACCTCTGCTGTTGCTTTTTCCTGACCTGTGAACTTGAGTAACCCATTTCCTTTTCTGGGCCCGTTTCTGGGT